TAGGTTTCCCCACCCAGCACTGGCTCCTGCAGTGGTTGCTGCTCACGTGGGCTGTGATTCTCTGCACCTGCCTGTCAGTCTCTTCAATTTGGCAGGGGCGGGGGGTACAAGTTTGCCCTGTGACCTCATGGATCTAAGAAGCGTTGTTGATTTTTCACTTTGCCAACCTTTTACTTGTTAGGACAGAGTGGTAACCTCCAAGCGTCTGACATGCTGGACAGGAACCTGGAAGTTTCCCCACATGCTTTTATCTCTTCATTTCCTTTGTATATATATATATATTGGATATATATATATAATATATGCTTATATATAATAGATATATATACTTTACAAGTTTTCACTTTTCCATCTTCTATTATTCTTAAGGCATTACCCATGGGTTTATTATTTTTTTTTAAGATTTTATTTATTTATTCATAAGAGACACAGAGAGAGAAGCAGAGGGAGAAGCAGGCTCCCCGCTGAACAGAGAGCCCGATGCGGGACTCGATCCCAGGACCCTGGGATCATGACCTGAGCCGAAGGCAGACACTTAACCATCTGAGCCACCCAGGTGCCCTACCCATGGGTTTATACACTCTCGTGTCCTTTCTAGTTCAGTCTCCATTTCTAAAGTTAGTTTCTCCGTGATTTTTAATTCCGTCCTGTTAGCTTTCAGCTCTTTTCAAATCTTTTTCTTCTCTACTCACCTTTTTTGAGTTTATAATCTATGCTGTTCCCTCAGAGCAGCTCTCTTCTCTGAATTTCTTTTAGTTCATTTTGGAACATCATGTAACAGTTTTAAGTCTGGTGGACTTGTATTGCCTATAAATACTATTATGCTCCTTGTTCTGTCTCTTTGACATATAAAATTACATATACATATATACATTACATGTAAAAGATAACTGCAAATAATTATGTAAATAAATATAAATTAGATTACTCCACTCATTATTATACATAAGTTACACATAATTACATATAATTATAAGGTATACATAATGGTTTTATATATAGTATAATTATATGTATACATGTATAGTATCATTATATATAGTATGTATAAATTATACATGTATGTATATATAATGGTTTATATTTTGTATAATTATATGTATATAACATATGGTATAATTATATGTATATAGTACGGTATGTGCAGTATACGTAGGTATATTATGGAAAGTAAAAAGGGAAACACCAACCAGGAGCAGAATTATGTCTACAGGCAATAAAGACACAGCAGATAAACAGATAAAACTGGAAGGAACTTTCTCATAGAAAAGGAGGGTGGGTCAGTATAGCTTCTGTAGCTATATGGCCCTAGAGTATCATATTCTGCTTTCACCCAGTATTCAAAACACAACCATTCTTTTATGAGATTTCTTGGCTCTGTTTCCCTCCCTCCCCCTTACCTGATACTTCTCTAGCCTTTGCTCCTGCTCAATCCATACTCGATTCTCAATCATTTCCCCTCAAAGCAAGGCCTGTCTAGAAGGAGGTTTTAACAGGTTCATTTCAAAAGTCATAGGCCAAGACTGCTTCAGAAACACTGGTTCATCTTTACCATGTCTCCCTTGTCCCCTCCTGGTTTCAGCTGCTGTTTCCACACTGGCCCACCATGTCCTCCAGGAGTATGTGTAACCGATTTTTGGACACGACAGAAACCAGGCTGCCTTTCCTCCACTTTCTGCAATACACGTCTGCACACCCTATGTGGGGATTACATGTCATCTAGTTTACTCTAGATCCTACGTTGTCTGTGCATGTGGGGTTCTGCTATCTTCCAGGCCCTGACTGCTTTTATGTCAGGATTCGCAGAGATGAGAACCTACGCTTCTCTGATAACTTCTCATCTCCCCTCAAAATTTTAATGATAACAAGGGCAGTATGTCTGAAAGGGACTAGGTTCCTCAAAGCAAAAGTCCAACGTCCCCATCATAAAAGACAGAAAATGAAAAGTCATTCATATAAAGAATGCAAAGTATCCATGATTATAATTTACAAATGACTAACTGAAACATATCGTCAGGTTTGATGTTTGCACATTCTACAGGAAAACCTATGTTGGAGTTATGAACCATCCTCTGTCAGGCAGAAATCTGCATGAAGAGCTGTCCAGGAACATGAAACAGTCTTCTGAAAAAGTCAGTCCTGCCTTTGATTAAAAGATTCTGTAGCTTAAGACATTTCTGGGATCATTTCCAGGAACATGTATATAATTTACAGTGACTGACTACTCACTGCCCCCAATAACTTTGTTCTCTCCACCTTTTTAATAAATGCAGAAGACAACAAACTTGGCGGGGCAGAGGGGGGGAAGAGGGGCCATCTCCCATTTTCCACCAATGAAACTCAAATCTGCATAAAACACATCTGGACCCAGGCTTACATATTTTTTTTTTAAAGATTT